AGAGAGGAAACCAACCAACAGAGAGAAAAGAAGAGAAGGGGTGTTTGTGTACCTTATATTGCCGGCCTCTCAGAGAAAATACAAAGAATATTTCTACAACATGATATTCCTGTTTATTTTAAACCGATAAACACATTGAGACAAAAACTAGTACACTCCAAAGACCGGGTTCCCAACACCCAAAAATGCAATCTGATTTATTCCATCCGTTGCCAAGAAAGTGAGTGCAAGGAACATTACATCGGAGAAACCAAACAAACACTCAAGAAAAGACTTTATCAACACAAATGGAAAAACAATGATAACAAAAGTGCAGTATACGCACACTTAAAAAAACAAACCACACAAATGAAGATGAACAAGTAAAAATCCTAGGAACAGAAAAGAGATGGTTTGAAAGTGGAGTAAAGGAGGCGATTTTTGTTAAAAAATTTTCACCCTCTCTGAACCGTGAAGGAGGTATCAGATTTAACCTGTCTCCTATTTACAATAACTTGTTGACCACCAAGGGACATAGACAGGCTGATCAGGCTAACTGAAAGTAGCTATTCAGCCCTAGCCCAAACAATAGGCCTAATCAAGACCCAACGATAGGGAATTTAGACATCAATGGGCCTCTTCACCATAGGGGCGTGACTAACCATCCCCACCCAGTCCTCAAATAGGCCACGCTCAGCTTTTTAGCGCAGAGCAATTTCCCAGAGTCTTCACGGAGACTTCAGAGTTGTCTACCGCTGACGAAGCTTCTGTGAGAGAAGCGAAACGTCCTTTTTTGTTTTTTACCCACAGGTACAGATGACGACTGACGGAACCCTTTCTACGATTAGCTTTATGATTTGAGAGGTAGCAACACGATATCGCTACGTTGTCCCATACCTTACGGACAACCTATAAATTGAGGTCAGTTGACTGACTTTATTTTCCTTCAAATGGTGTTTCTGCAGTAACTGGCAAGAGGACTAAAGTGAATGATTGTACAACAGGGATCACCAATGTGGTGGCCTGTTCCAAAAATGGCACACCAGTGATGAGACATTCTGATTTTTAACGAATGTTATGTCCAATAAGTGATCACTTGAAAATCCAAACACTGGTAAAGATTCACACAAATGGTGTTGCAAATTGATATTTTATTTCCTAATTATTGTGAGAAACCATTAACATGATCAGCGTCTTCACATAAATGAGGTAGAGGTGCAACAATTGACAACTAATCAATTATCAAATTTAATCGATTAATTATTTTGATACCTTTTTTAAATTACAATTTTTCTATGTACTCTGAATTTCAGATTCTCAACCATAAATATTCTCTAACTTCTGCCATGAAATAAGACCATCTTTGCGTTGCATCAAAATTTGCTCTTACTTTGGACAATGATTAACATTTTTTTCCTATTTTCTAACGTTATGGACCAAAACAGTAACATAATCATAATTTGTTTGTGCATTTTGTCAATATGAAATGAATTGTATTTGAATAAAGGGATGTAAACTATTTTTTAACACCAATTCATTGATTGATCATGAATCGATTATTAAAATAATTGTTAGTTACAGCCAAATAGTGAACATCAATAATTGTTAATAAAATTATACAATAATAACATGTGAAGGAAAAACATTGTTCTCGATTAAAAAAAAAATGTTTATAACCCCTGCTGTAAGAATGTTTTCCTCAGTGAGGCAAAAAGCCAAGAATCCTCTGGAGGAGTTGAATATATCCTACAGCCACGTGTAGTATAAACCAAGGTCGTAAAGGCAAAATTGCTGTTGTCTGAAAACATCTGCACCTTAATGCACGTCTTGTGTGTTTTGTTCTGGAAGAATCACAGGTGAGCACTGACCTCTTGTCCAGAGAGATAGTAGGCTGCCAGCAGGCCTCCGATGAAACGGATGTTGACCTCAAACACAGACACCTCGACATTCTGGAAAAACGGAAACCGACAAATTAGGACATCAGAAACACAAATGCAAGTATTTAATAATACATACATCCGGTGTTAATCATTGGATTGATCATTTGGGGTTGATTATTAGGTTCACCACGTCATGAAGCAATTGAAGCGAAGCTACTTTGTTGCAACCGGCAGAAATGTGGTATATTTAAGGATAAACAGGGCACAAGACTGCCCTTCAATGGTCGCATTTGCCCCTAAAATTCGAGACACGGTGAGGAAACTTCATCCATTTACGCTTGTGCATTCTGTAAATTTGCCCTTTATTTATCAATATATATAAATCAGCAGTTTTTTCAAAATTTTTTGTTGCTGACAAGGTGAGCAAGTTTCCTCCCGAGGCAGTGTTTTGTGAGTTGTTTAGAATCGGCTTGCAGTGACGCCAAAAAATGAGCAACAGTAGGTTTAGAGGCTGTTAAAACCAAAGTGAGGACCACAAACCAAATTATTGCACCATGTAAAATCGACACAAGGCAGCAAATGATGTTCTGTGCGAGACATGGGAGAGAAAGATCCCGCTAACCAACAGATGAGGAGAATTAATTCAGGTTTAGTTTTGACAAGGAGCCCAGTAATAAAGAAGTCAATCTCTCAACATTGTTGGTGTTGACAAGTTGCAAGAGCAGTTACATCGCCACATTGTGACACTCATCAACTTCGATGGTTGGTGCAGTTGTTGTGCTAAACGTCTACATATGAATGACTCATTCACCGGCGACCTGATTAATTCTACGTTTCCATTTGGACTCAGAAGTACACTCAGAAGTATGTTTTAATCGTCAAGCAACGGTGTCTCATTCTCGACATGACTGCCTCCGGTGATTTCATTTCACAATAAGGGAGCATCCGAAAGTTCAAACATTATGACAGGATTTTATTTTAATAAGGCCCTATCACCTTGAGGTCAAGAAAATGGATGGGTTGAATAGCATTTGATATTTGTCAAATGGAGAGCACATCTGTCTTACAGTTTAGAAGTTGTGGGTTTGAATCCGGGCTCCTTCCTTTGTGTAGAGCTTGTGTGGGGTTTCTCAAAACTCCCATATGCAAAAAACATGCATGTTAGGTAAATTGAAGACACTCTAACTGTAATCTGAGTGTGAATAGCTGTTTGTTTCTATGTGCTTGTGCCCAGAGTCAGCCGGGATGGTACAGAAAATGGATGAATGGCTGCTCTGGCGCACACAACTCTGTGAATGTTAAAGCCTTGGTGAAGGACCGCGCTCTCTGGGTGTTTCAGATTTCAGATTGACACAACTATCAACAGCCATATAACCTTATAGCCCTCACAGCTTTATGCATTTGACACCTACAGTATGTGTCTGTCAGATCACACTGTGCCAGGAATGGTGCAATGCTTTATCGAGAATCAGTCTCCTAATGCAGCTCAAAAGTGATTATAGCTTAGGGGTGTTAAAAGTGAAGAGGAGGGAGGGCGTGAGAGGAGGTCAACCCCAATTTATGTTTGTTTTGCAAAGCAGAGCTCAACTGCAGCGTAATCCAATCTCATTTGCCTGTTCATGACACACAGGTGCACCCGATTGCTGCAATTGACCCCCCACCCCTCCCCCCCAACACACAGACCATCATCCCACCCCCAGGAGCATGGTTGTTGAAGTTCATGCATTTGATGACAGAGAACCTTTGGAAATGCCGTGGAAATTCCTATGCGGAAGGACAACAAGTAGAAAATCAAGGCACCCAAAACATTCCGCAGCTCCTCACAGATGCATTGTTTTCCGGTGAAAGGCATTGAATCAATCTTAGGGAAAGTCAAGAAAAAAAAAAAAAAAAACGTAACAACAATGCTGTATCTTCAAACCGCCCCCACTAGTCGAAACTCGGTTTTCAAGATGAGCCCTCCGGCACTGTGATGTTATTTTCAGTCAACACCAAGTAGCAGTACAAGGCAAAATGGCAGCACCCTGAGATGGATAAAAACTAGTGCATTATTTGGCTTAATTTATCTTCAACAAACACAATATTAATCAGAATGCTGTGTTTAGACTTGTGGTGATGCCTAGGCCACGTTATTACAAAGAACATTTGTGACTTGACTTCCCCTTTAAAAGTGGTGGTGACATTTTACACCAATACCCATGGTGAGGTTAAGAGGAGAAAAACTGGGAAAGGAGTTGTGGAACAGCGACTATGATCGCAAGATGTTTTCTTTGGTTTTCAAACCATTAACATAGCTAGAAAATCACTGAATGTACTGATTGGTGCCTCTCCTGTTACGTAGTGAGGAAATTGGAGTCTTGTTGGGTGCAGACGTTATCTTAACATTTCCAGGTCAGTGCAAGCCAAATCACTGTACATCCAAATTTAGAGTACCGTATTTTCACGACCATTCGGCCCACCGTATTGTTGGGCGTAGTCTCAGTAACGGGTGCTATTTCTGTATTTGACACATACACAAAACGCACTGTATTATTGGGCACAGCCAGGCATGGTAAAACATACGCCAGCTTAAACATACGGCATGCATGCACGCGCGCTAAATACACGTTAGCTTGAAGCATACGGTTGCATGCATGCACGCTAAAACATACCAGGTATGTTAGCTTAAAGCACACGGTAGCAGCTAAGACATACGGACACACGCTAAAAACACGTTTTTAAAAAGGCAACGGAAGCAAAACTGAGTTCGATTGTACTTTATTTAGCCATTTTACAACGTACTCACGCGACTGGTACCTGCTAGGGGCGTGCCTTTAACGTCCTCTTACACGCCTACCCTTCACTCATTGGCGACTGGTACCTGCTAGGGACGTGCCTTTAGCGTCCTCTTACATGCCCACCCTTCACTCATTGGCGGACTTCCGCATGCCTGTCGTCACTCACGCCCGCCTTTTCTCTGTATAAAAAGCGTGTCGGCCAGAGGTGCTCTCAGTTAGGCTTTGGAACTCAACATTAGGAAAATGTTGAAATTTAATGAACATATCTTTTACAAAACATTTCATGAAGCACCTTACATTTCCTTCGACAAATTTGCAATTTACTTTTATCATTCACATGTATGCATTGCAACTGATCCCACTGATTGTACAAACTTTAACAAGTAATTGGTTTTGAAAAATATCGTAATGCACTTTAAGATTAAACGAGATTTATAAAGAAAGGAAGTTTTAAACCATTTACACGTGCATATAAAATCTAAATGTAATCCCTGCCTACACCTTACAAACTAAGGAGCGTGCTATTAAATGTGTAAATGTGAGAGTGCTATTGATAGCGTCTGCAGTCATGGGTCTGTCTCAGTGATGGACTGAGGCTGCTGTTGTCTTCTTCTCTGATCAAAACAGTGTCCCCTAGCGGATACTCAATGAATTGCACCTTATTGAAAATATTTATTCTGTGTCTTTTATGCATTTTCTTCACTTTTAAATTATCCTGTGGGCCTGATGGAACGGCCCGCGGACCGTATGTTTGACACCACTGCTTTACATAATCACCTCGTGGGCCGGATTAAAGTCCTCGGGGGGCCGGATCCGGCCCGCGGGCCGTACATTTGACACCCCTGCACTAGACGCTCCGCATTATAAGGCGTCCTGTCCATTTTGGAGAAAATTTAAGACTTTTAATGGCGCCTTATAGTCGTGAAAATACGGTAGCTTAATCTCAGGGGTCAGGATTTCTAGTGTTTTGCAAGACAATAGCAGGAGCTGCAGAAAGTTAACCAAGTTGAAAGTCGACCTTGAGTTAAAATGGATTGGCATGGTGAGGACTTGCCCTTCCTGTCAGAGTGACTGATCCACATTCCTTATCCACACATTCTTTTTTTTTTTCCCATGAGTGTTCAGACTGAGACACCGCAGTTGACACCAGCGCTTTCAAAAAAGACTGACAAGCTCCTAAAACTCAACCTGTGAAACAGTACATTGATTTGCACACTTACTGGTTAATAGGGAAGGCATACTTGAATGTTAACTGAAGCACTATGGAAACACTACTTTTTGGATTTTAATTTGTAAAATTGACGACAGACAGACAGACACCCACCCACACACAATTATACACGGGTCATACTGTGTCTCGAAACCATGACTTTTTGAAATTGATGTATAAATTAAAACCAGTAACCTATGGCAGGGGTCACCTTGTTCAAAGTCCGAGCTAATTCTTGGGTCCTGATCAACGTGAAGGGAGCATTTTGAATCACACTCGAATTATGAAATAACTATGCTCAAATTACCCATAACAATGTATGCTTCATTAATAATGAATGATCATTTACGGCATGTGAAGGCACTCATGTTAATGATCTTTCACAGTATTAGGTATCAGATAAATATCAACACACTTTTGTTCTACAAATCTCTGATAGTGTTTACGTTTTCAAACGATCACTTATAGATTATTCCAAGAAAATCACAATCTCCCATCACTTTAGCTGTTTGTAGAGCAGGCCCGAAGGCTAACCGATGCCCACGGCCAACACATTATTTCGGACAGAGGAAAAGAATAAAATAAGAGCTGTAGAAGAACATAAAATCTTGTCAATATACACATAGGCTCTATGTTAACTAAAAAATTTGGTAAAGCAAGGCTCACCAACTCCGGTCCCTGTGGCCCCCTATCCTACATGTTTTAGATGGTTCCAACCTCCAAGACACCTGATTCAAATGATTAGGGTGGTTCAGGCCTGAAGATTTCACGGTAACGATCGTTTCCGGTAGCATGTCGTTTCCATGGGATCATTTTTACGGTATTGAAACATTATGTGCGCATGCTGAGAAAGTGCGCGGATAACGGATTGAGATGGCACAAAAAAAAAACACCACAGAAAGGTGTATTACTTACAACATTTAAGAAATGGGAATGCCAGTCAGATTTTTCATTCGCATCATCCGAAGAATGGTGTATCACTAAGCTCACGTGTGATGTATGCACAAAACACGAAAGAGAGATTCGACGGCAGGCACGATTCCGAGGCAAGTATTGAAGTTGGTCATTAGATCGAAAGGCTA